CCTATCGCGCCCCGGCCTGCGCCCACAGGCTGGGCCAGGGCGGCGGTCATGGGCAGGAGCCTGGCCTCGCAAGGGGGGGAGATCGCCATAGGGGGGGGGGGAACCGTCCTCTCTTCTGGAGGAGGAGGAGGAGGAGGAGGAGGAGGAGGAGGAGGAGGAGGAGGAGGAGGAGGAGGAGAGAAGATGCGATAACACCCTGGGGGGCCGATCCCCCCTCGCTGCCCTGCAAGCCCTCGCTCACATGCAAACATGCTGCAGCAAACAAGAAAATGTGCCGAAGTGGAGGAGGAGGAGGCGGAGGAGGAGGAGGAGGAGGAGGAGGAATCAACATCGAATCGGGACATCGGATCGGATCGGGACGTGTGTCGAATCCGGCCGCATCGGCACGGGGTCGGAATCGAATCGGATCGGCGGCTCCAGGACGCACAGCGCGCGCCCGGATGGGGAAGGCAGAGTGAGGGGCAAAGTTAGGGGGGGGGGGCAGCTCAGGGGGCAGACATCGGGCCGGAATCGGCGCTGCCTCGCCGACAGATCAGCGGCAAGCCCGCGGTGGCAGAACCGAGCGTTCCGCGGCGGGGTGAGCTATCGGGCCACGATCAGCGATGAACGGTGGACTCGGGGCCGTGGCGTCCCCTCCTGCGCCTGTCCCCCTCTTTGACGCTGCCCCTGACAGAAGGGGCGGGCCTTCGCAGAAGGCCCAGACTGCCTCTGGACTTTCGAGAAGCTCGCGGGGCCTTCTTCGATGCCACATGGGGCTTGTCAGAAGGCTGGAGGGCTTCTGAGAAGCCCCGCCGCCTTCTGAGAAAGCCTGCCCCCTCTCACTACCCCCCTCGGTGCACTGCCAACCCTCAGGTCCAGGCGTCGCAACACAGATCGCAACGCCGCCTGTCTTGACGCTATCTAGCCTCTGGAGGCCGATTTGGACAGTCTGGGCCTCGGACCCTTGTGGTTGAAGGGGCCCCAAGACAAACAAATAAATTCACACAAATAAAAGGATTCCCCATATTTTCCGACATTTTCTGGGTTTTCGTCTTCCCCCCCACTTCCCATATTTTCCCTATATTTTCTGGGGAATCGACGATTACTTGTGTCTGTGTGTTTTTTGCCCTCCTGAGTGGTGGTGACGGACCGCGTGGTGACTTCGGCATCCCCGACGACGCACCGCGCGGTCCGTCACCGCACGGGTTTGGGACCCTGGCTGCCCTGGTCGCCCGAGACGCCTCGGAGAGCGGCCCGAGTCCCAAAACCCTGCGGCGACGCCGCATCCCCACTCTCCACGCGGTGTGGTCACCACTGAAGGGGCCCTGGGACACACAAATAAATACACACAAATAAAAAGATTCCCCATAGTTTCCAATATTTTCTGTGTTTTTATCTTCCCCCCACTTCCCATATTTTCCCATATTTTCTGGGGAATCGACGATTAATTGTCTCTGTGTTTTTTCCCCTCCTGAACCACACCGTTTGGGGGCCCCCGAGACACCGCCCAACTACTCAGGATGAAAAGCCAGCCTTGGGGAAAGGGTCGAGATCCCCAGGGGCCCACGTCACGGAGATAGATGGCTCGGAGCGGAGGCGCACGACTCGCGTGCGCGCGCTGGGCCTGAGGCTTTTGTGTGCTTCCCATCCTCTGCGGGCCTCTGGAGTTTGCACGGGGCGTTTTCCACGATCTGACTTCTTCCATCTGGGCGTTTTTCTTGAATTTCGGCCTCTGAGGCCTGTTTTCTGATCCGGGGCGATAGACTGGCCCTGGGGAGAAAGGTCGGGATCTACCCAGGACGGCGGGGAAATCTGTCTGATCGCTACACGAAGACCGCCGGTCCTGGTTGGAGCGCGCACCTGGCGATGAGTCCAGCGAGGGGCAAAGGGCGGACGCCCGCGATGTCGGTGAACATCTCGCGAAACAGTTGCGCGGCCGGTTCCACGCTTGCGTTTTCGGCTACAACAGGACTTGCATACAGCAAGCTCCTGGCGACATTACATTCCACTCACCTTCCAGCTGGCCAGCTGCCAGCCAAACCTCCAACGAAGCCACCTTCCGACCTCCTGCCACGTTACCTCTTCTCAATCCTCCCTCCTGGGACACCCAGCAAGAAAGCAGCCTCCATGTCCAGGATTCCGCGCACCTGCACGCGCGCGGTAGACAAACAACGACAAACAAACAGACAGACACACAGACACGGACACGAACACACATTTATACACTGACACACAAGGCATGCGCACAGGCACAGACACATGCACAAACGTTGGATTAGATGGAGACTTGGTCATATCTCATCACGTTAGGCACTGACTGCTTGTGTTCGATGAAGGCGCAACGTGTTGGAGTACTTTGTATACGTCTCCAATTTGCCCAGTACCAAGATGCGCTCTATCACAATGCGTTCGACTGGAGACGGGCAAGGAGACACACAATCAATAAACCAATGGAGAAACACGTAAAAGCAAGCGGGCAGAATATCCAGGATACACAAACACATGGTTACGTGCATGGATGTGGGTTGGGATGTGTACGCGTATGTACAGATAGACAAACAAGCATACCGACACACGGACAGGTGCACAAATCATTATTAAGGCGTCATTAATAACACTTCACTTCAATAAAGACTCCTTAATGCGGTTTCCTTCAACACGGGTTCCTTCGTGAGGATGCCCCTCTGTCGGGACTCCTTAGCAAATATGCCTTGAGTACGGTGCCCTCAGTAAGGATGCCCTTCGTATGAAATCCCAGAAAAGAGCCCTTGGTGGGGTTCCTCTGAGTCTTGATGATGTATTAAGGGTTCCTTTCGTACGGCTTCCACATCGCAGATTTTTGAATACAAGCGCCTTGAATGAAGCCTTGTGCACTTTGTGGTCTGTAAGCAGGAACCCGTTTCTTACAGATTTTTTGTTTGTCTCTCTGAGCAAGAGACTTTTGATCATGATGCCTAAGTAAAGAATCCTGGATGGTTTCAAGCTCGTTTGGGCCCCCCTCCACCTCTTTCCTCCTCCGCCCCCTCCTCCTCCGCCTCTTCTGGGGGCCTCTCTCAATATCTCTGTTCCCTCTTTCTCCTCCCTCTTCCTCCTCCTCCTCCTCCTCCTCCTCCTCCTCCTCCTCCTCCCGTTCCTCCTCCTTTTCCTCTTTTTCCTCTGCCACCTCCTCCTCCTCCCAATCAGAATCCCCTTGCGGAGCAGAATCAAGCACCACCACAGAAAAAGACAGCACCAACAACAAGAACAAACCAACAGCACACAACAACAATCCTGGGGAACTTCTGTGGGGTGGGGTCTGTGGGGGGGATGAGGGGGGGAGTCCGTCGAGGAGGAGGGGGGGAGGAGGGGGAGGAGGATGAGGAGGAGGAGGAGGAGGAGGAGGAGGAGGGGGAGGAAGAGGAGGCGGAGGAGGAGGAGGGAGGGAGGCGGAGGGAGGAGAGGAGGAGGAGGAGGAGGAGGAGGAGGAGGAGGAGGAGGAGGAGGAGGAGGAGGAGGGGGAGGACGAGGAGGAGGGGGATGCGGAGGCGGAGGAAAACGACGACGACGGCGACGACGGCGGCAGAGAGGGGCATCCACAAATGGATGCCCCCCCCCCGCCTTGATGCGGCAGAAAGGGGCATCCGCAAATGGATGCCCCCTCGGCTATGGCCCCTTTTCCGCCCTTTCCTCCCTTGTGTGTCCTTTTCTTCTGCACGGGAACTTCCGAGAAGTGTGAAGTGTACAGGCGAGCAGTTCTGCGTGTGTTTTCAGGCCATATGTGGACCAGCTCAGCCCAGCTCATATGAGGCAGAAGAGTAACGCCCACCATAATGCCGTGTACATCACCAAACGAGTCGTGCCGATAATCGAAGGGCGGACAACATGTGATCACCTCAAAATTTGGTTACCAGCTCTGGTGTTTTGAATACCTTGCAACAACCACCCCAAACATAATCTTAACCCTTACGCCGTAGTGCAGCATCACGGGCACGGCATTGCTACTCCGGAGGGCAGCGAAGCATTCCGCATCCACCTCCGCTCGGACCATCCCGAGCCAACCGAGCAACCACGTCATCCGCCTCACCGTTCTCAACATCCCGCTCTAGCGGCGCCCGCGGCCACGACCGCGGCCCTTCCCGCCAAATGCCATCCGTGGGGGCCGCTGGCCCGCCGCAGCCGGGAGAGATGGTTGCCTGCGCCGCGGGCCTCGGCCGCGGCCCTTGCCCTTGCCTGCCGCCGACTCCTCGGATTGGAAGGTGCGCCACTCCGCGGCAAGTGCAATCCTCGTTCGACCTGGGAGCTCCGCCGCTGTAGGATACGGGCTGTCGCCGCGAAGCGTCTGCACGCGCTCCACCGCGCCCGACCGCCGCGCGCTGTCGGAGGGCGCTCCGTCGCGGGGGCTGGCGGGAGCGGCTGCGGCGCCCGCGGCTGCCTCGCCCTAGCGCGCCTGCGGACCTCGACCGCGGGGGCGAGCGCGCCGCTTCCAGGGGCTGTGAGCTGGGGTCGCTGGCCCGTTGGCCTGGGGCCGAGCGGGGGAGGCTGCGCGAGGGGCGGCCTCGGCTCCGACCCCCAGCTGCTCGTCCGCGGACGTCGTCCAGGCGCCGTCGGGGCATGGCGGCCCGCCGTGCCATGTGCTGCTCGCCCAGCGACGTCAAGCTTGGGCGCGCGTCGCCTACGACCTCCAGCTCGCCCGCGACCTGCCGCTCACGCACCCCAGGCTGAGCTCCAGAGCCATGAAGCGCTGCATCGGGATATCCGAAAGCTCGGCCAGGCTGCCACTCTCGAGGAGGTCGAAGGACGTCGCGAGCGTCTGCAGCTCCCTGACCACGGAGACTCGCTGATAGCGGATGGGGTAGTGGCCAAACATGATGGCAACCAAATGGGACATCACTTTGGGGCGTGCTTCGTTGCCGTCCGGCCTCTCCCGCAGGCCCACGACGCGCGCTATGTTCCTCATCGCCTCGTCGTGCAGCGGCAAGACATCCCTCGGCCAAGGCCAGCTGGTGGGAAGCCGCTGCCGCCGCGAGACTGCCGGCAACGGC